CACTGTGAGAGAGAGAGGGGCATCAGGCGCGCTATGAGAGAGAGGGGCATCAGGCACACTGTGAGAGAGAGAGGGGCATCAGGCGCACTGTGAGAGAGAGGACCTTGGTCTCGGAGAGCTTTGTGTTAATGGTCTTTGTGATGATGCGTTGAGAGCTGCTGTGGTATGAGGGAGGTAGCTGTGTGACACAGTAGTCTTGTGGCTGCATGTTCAGTTCACTTTCTTTGTCGTAATCACAAAATGCTTAACAACAAGAGGGAAGGGAAGACCAGCCGCTTGGCAACTGGGGGAAGATCAAGCTGTGATGTAGTTTTGAACCCAGCTGTAAGGGCAGTACTCTGTTTTAACAATTAAATTAAACTGTCAAAAGAGAGTCCAGTTATCAGTACATCAACAAAACTGTTCACTCTACTTAATGTTTACAATAACATTTCCATGGTGTGTGACATGAATGAGGTCTTAGTGTACCAGCTCCAGTTTAGAGTGAAATCATAAAATCTTGATTCGACCTGAATGTAATTTGCAGCCCCCTATGTCCGAGTCTCAGGAGGCTCTCAGTAAGGGGACTGGCTCTGGGATAATAGGAAGCACAGAATTATCTCGCTTCTAATGTGGTGCTGCTCTTGGTGCAGGGCCTGATGCAGACAGACTGGCGGCTGTGCTCCAGGCCCAGGGCTGCCGGGGCTTGTGATGCGCTGCTGCTCAGGCCCTCTGTCCCTCTCACCTGCAGGATTTCGAGGAGGACCCGAGGGCGCAGGGAGCACGCGGGCACCGCAGGTCCGTGAGCCGGGGCTCCTACCAGCTGCAGGCTCAGATGAACAGAGCAGTGTACGACGAGAGGTACGGCCCCTGCCCTTGGCCACTTCCTTTGTGCTCCACCTGGGGGTGCTGGTGACCCCCAGAGTGACTGCAGGCTCAGCCAGGCGTGTGACTTCGGGACACGTGCTGTCAGCCTGGTCACTCCCTGTCAGGACAGGAAGTGGGGGGAAGGAGGGCGTATCTGGTCTGTGGGAGCACCGCGGCGCTGGGGCTGAATCCTAGCGTGTTGAACCAGCCAGGTTGTGGCCTGATGGCGCGTTGTCTTGGTCTGCAGGCCCCCTGGCAGCCTGGTGCCCACCTCTGTGGCAGAGGCGAGCCGCGCCATGGCTGGAGACACCACGCTGAGCGAGAACTATGCCTTTGCTGGCATGCACCACATCTTCGACCAGCACGTGGACTCTGCTGGTGAGCGGACCGACCCTCCTGGAGCACTGAACGCCTGTCGCGCGCGGAGCCCTCCTCCTGCACACAGGGCCGGCCACACGACAGCGCCGCGCCAGTCAGACACGAGCACAGCGGCCGCTGGCAGCTCGCCTTTCCACTGGTGTCTGGGAAAGTCACTGTCGTGAAGGAATCCATTGCCTTTACAGGTTATCCTTATAAGGGAATACTTTTTCCAGTTTAATTGGATAAGTGTAATATACTTTAAAATGAAGATAGATATAGACAATATAGAAGTGCATTTAAAACTGAGAACAAGAGGCAGTTCTTTACACAAAGGGTGGTGGGAGTGTGGAACAAGCTGTCCCGACATGCTGTTGAAGCCGATACCCTGGCTTCTGTCAAGAACCAGCTGGACGAGACCCTGGGACCAATTATCTGCTAACTACCAGACAGGCAGGGGGGCCAAACTGTCTCCTCATGTTCGTAACCCCCTTCACTTCTTCAGAATTTGGCCTTTAAAAGAAAATGTATTCCTGTAGAACCTTGCAGTACTTACATGTAAAGGAACAAGTAATAGGTTTATTCCATGCTGAAAAGAGAAGAGAGAAAACACGACGTTTTGGCTCTGGAGCCTTCTTCAGTGTGAGAAAGACAGAGCAGACGGCAAAGATTGAATAGCACAGCAGAACAAAAGCTGGAGAGGGGAGGAGGCAGGAGGGGGAGGAGAAAGGTGTGAAGTCAAAACCTGCAGGAGAATAGAGGGGTGCTGAAGGGCCCCGGGCTCCTGTGTGAGTGCGAAGGGGTGACCTGTCCAGGTGCCCCTGTCCCAGCAGCGCTCGGGCCGATGTCCTGGCCGGTTTTGAAGATGAAGGTGTTAAACTGTCTTCCTCTCTCCCGCGTCCCCTCCGCTGTCCCCTGGCCTGCCCACCAGTTCCCAGGCTGCAGTTCGCCAACGACGACAAGCACCTCCTGGCCTGCTGCTCCCTGGACGGCACCCTGTCCATCATGACGCTGTCCCCCGCGCCGCCCAGCGTCAAGGTCACGCTGCGGGGCCACGAGCGCCCCGTCACCGACTTCGCCTGGTCCCTCAGCAACGACATCATCGTGTCCACGTCGCAGGACGGCAGCCTGCGCATCTGGAACACGGAGGACGGGCGCTGCATCCGCGCCGTGTGCGACCCCGACGCCTCCGAGCTGCTCTGCTGCACTTTCCAGCCCATGAACAACAACCTGACCGTGGTGAGTGAGCGTCACGTGACATGAGCGCATGAGAAGAGGAATCTTTGGGCTTTAAAAGGCCTACGTCTCATGGAATGAGTTGTCAGGGTATCTTTTTGTTTTTTTCTCCTGCTCTCCCCTTCATCCCTCTCTCTCTCTCTCTTCTTTTGCTTTCTTTTTCCTCTCTCACTCCTGATCCTTTCTCTCTTCCTGATGATGTTTCTTTCTCTTTCTGTCCCTCTCTCTCTTTCTCCTCTCTCTCTCTGTCCCTCCCTCTCTCCCTCTGTCCCTCCTCCTCGGTCCTCAGGTGGGGAACAGCAAGCACGTCCTGCAGGTGGTGAACATCTCCACTGGGAAGAAGGTGAAGGGTGGCTCCAGCAAGCTCACGGGCCGGGTGCTGTCCCTCTCCTTCGACGCTCCGGGCAGGATCCTGTGGGCCGGAGACGACCGGGGCAGCATCTTCTCCTTCCTGTTCGACATGGCCACAGGTGGGGAGTCCCAGGAGAGCTGCTTCTGTGTGCCACCGCACTGCGCTGGCGAGAGGTGCTGGGAGTGTGGCGAGGGTGGTGTCATCGCTGGTGGCCGAGAGCAGTTAGCGGTTTTGGTGGCGTGACGTGTAGGAGGTT